ACAGACCTTCACTATCATGATTCCAACAATGACCAAGCAGTTTAATCTGTGGAACAGGAAACAAACGCTGATCTCATGTGTCAAAGTCTAAACCTTCCTCCTGTGTCACTCTAGATAAGATAAAATAAGATAAGATAATCCTTTATGAGTCCGGCTATGGGGAGATTTGCAATATTACAGCAGCAAGAGTAGCAGCATCATTAAGTAATAATAAATAACATGCACAACTTAAGTGTGAGAATAATTATAGTTAAGAATAAAATTAATGGAATCAAATCTAATATATACAGTGTAAAAAAAAGAATAAAAGATATGTGCACTGTGAGAATATGTACAGTGAATGGATTGCACATGAACCGATGTACTGAAGACAGAATGAATATTGCACAGTTAAGAGAGTTCAACCAGAGTTAAAGTGCAGTGCATGCTGGGTGTGTGTAGTTCCACTGAATACTACTTCACCTGACAACCTCCTTTGCTCCTGTCATAATTACTGCGGTCACTAGGGGTCATCTAATGATAAAAACGTAACTATTGGCCGTAATAGGTTATTTTCTACAGGACTCGGACCACAAGAGCAGCCAGAGAGAAAATTAGCTGAACACAATACAAACCCAGCAGGTATTCGGTTTTTTATGTCCAAATCCGACCCGATGTCTCCCAATAACAGGCACCGTAAAAAAAATCTAGTAGATAGCCCAGCTAATGTTAAAGAACCCAAGCACGGATATCATTTTCTAAATAATTCCCCAACCCACCCCAACTTGTTAGGTCACATATCAACACTCCACAGGACAATCTTTCACTTTCTTGGCTAGAGATAGAGGAGACAATCCAGTCCACCCTCATGTGTCTGTACTGCATAAATACACTGTCAACAACCAGATAAGTTAGCATAGCATGAAGACTGGTTACAGGGCGAAACAGCAAGCAAGAAATATTTTAGCACATAACTGGAGTGCAGTGTGTAGAATTTTGTGATATCTAGTGTTAAAATTGCACGTTACAGCTGAACACCACTCACCTCACCTTCTCCTTCCAAAAGTGAAAAAGAACCTGTGGTAGCTTCAGTTGTCATAAAAACTCAAAAGGTGTTTAGTTTGTCCAGTCTGGACTAATGTAAAAACATGGCGGCCTCCGTAGAGAGGGTCCCCTCGATGTAAATATAAAGTATTTAAATATAAAGGGCCTTTTCTGGGGTAAAGAAAACTACAATATATACAATTCAGATGAAACGAATAAGTGAAAACATCATGAGGATTATTCTGCATTAAATTTCTGCCAATAGTTCCCTTTCACCTAAATCTTACACACTGAACCTTTAATGCTAAGCTAGGTTAACCAGCTGCAGAGCATACTTAGCATGCATGTATGGATGAGAGTGGCATCAATCTGTACATCCATGCTCAGCAGAAGTGTAAATATAAGTGCATAGCCCAAAATGTCAAACTTTTACTTCAGGACATCATATTGTATGAAATTGTGCAATCTTAAATGATTCAGCAGCAGAAAAAGCTGTTTGTTTGACAAGTCAATGCTTCTCCACAAACCAGCAAACCAAGCTTGAATGACGCCCAGAAATGATTGGAACACACATAAACAAGCTGTGCCACTAAAGATTATTCTGCCTCGTGGATGTTTTTTCCTTTGCAAATGTTCTTCCAGTAAGCAGAAGGTTTGCCAAACAAGCTGGCAGCTGGAGGATCCTCATCCGCTGAGTCAGCAGAACCTTTTCTTCAACTCCCAACATGTCTGTTTCAGCACAGCCAGCGTCATGCAGCCCAGCAAAGTATTAACAGGTAATTAACCAAATAAGACCACAATGGTTACAATCTCCCGCCTTAACACAGAGGCCTAGCATCAGCTGATCAAACTCTCAGTGTCTGTTGAGTTGGCATCACAAACTGAAGGCGTTTCAGAGCAAACACTCCATAGGTTGTGCTCAATCCTCCTTATTGCTCTGCTGACAAACACAATAAATTCCATGAACAGTTTTCAGCCTTTTACTCCCTCAGCAGGGAATCTGTCTGTAGCCTGGAGCAGCAGCAAACTGAGACACACCTACAGTGTCTCACATCTTGTTCATCAGCATTTGAGCAAACCGACACAAACACTGTTCAGGATAATTTAACAGATGAGAAGGGTGGTGTGAGACCACAATGGGTAACTGCTGGGTTTAAATACAACACACTGTGAGATGATATTTAATTTGTACTGTATATTATAAAGCTGAAAAGAACAAAATTTGACGTAAGATGAGTGATCATAGGAGTTTACACTGAAATGACTCAAAACATGCCTTTAATTTGTGAATCACTTAGCTTCACTCTCACAAATGATAAGTTCACACCTCATGCAGAGACCTGTTCACAGTGATGGACAAACCCCCTACAACAAGTTTACTTTTTAGATTACTCTCATTTGTACATTAAAACTGCTTTGGGGGTCAAGCTTGTTTATGTTAGGTCTGGTCTTTTCAGTGTTTGTGTGTGTGTGTGTGTGTGTGTGTGNGTGTGTGTGTGTGTGTGTGTGTGTGTGTGTGTGTGTGTGCATTAATCCCCTGATCAGAGCAGTTATTTGCCGCCTGGGGAGATAACAACACATCCAGTCTTGTGTAATTTTCATCAAATCAGAACTGTCCTTCCTCTAAACAACACAGCTCATTGACGTGTCTGTCTGTCTGTCTGTCTGTCTGAAGAATGTCTCAGTGTGGGGATGCAATGGTGTCATTGTGGGCAATGACTTGTGTCACTGTCTGAGTTACTCAATGGTTACATCTAGGATATGACAACGATTACAGGCCATTAGCTTTTTGTAAAATCACAATAAAACTAAAACTAGATTTGCCGCCCTGCAGTTTGATTCCTCCTCCAACCAGAGCAGCTTCAGTCAACATACATTTTTCAGACCTTCAAATTTGAATTGCTCATCTTTGAATCCAAATGAACCTATGAACCAAATGTGAAGAATTCCATCTGGACAGATGTGCCACAGTATGGACGGACAACCTGAAAGCATAATGCCTCCAGCCACTGGCTGTCACCTGTGCAAAGGCACAAAAAAATCAAATTGGTGGCTTTGAACATAAGATATCCAACTGAGCCAACAAATTAATGAGTGTCTGCAAAATACTGCAGGAAACTGAGAGTGGGGTAAAACAGTGCTGCACTCCAAGTAGGACCAATTAGTGATTCATTGCAGAGGTTGGAGTCAGGGAACTCAGCCAACAGAACCCACTGTCTCTGAAGTCAAAGTAAAGTACAGCGAAAAGACCAATCTAACAAAAAAGAGCCATTGTAAAGACAATGGAGTCCAATCTGTGTGCACTCATGTCTTGACATGTGGCTGTCTGTAGATCTCTTAATAGCTTTTGTATGTCGTATGTGTTAAATGTTTGATTCATCATTACCCTGCAGATGGAGAAGCTGTTTCTTGACCTCAGAAGCTCCATTGTAAATGTCAAACAGGTGCTGATGGTTGAGCCCGTGAACAACATTTCACAGGCTGCCTATAAAACTGGCGAGCAGAGGGAGGCAGAGCTGCGGACCAGCGACCACATGGTGGTTAGCAACAAAACAGCATCTGAGCTCCTGAGTCAGTCAGTATGAAAACACTCTATTGACATGCTAATGTAAGATCTGCCAGCTGAACGGCCTGAATACAGTGAACACCATCTCCTTCAGAGACCAAGGCTTTGGCTGCAAGCCTCAAGGGTTGTTGAGAATTCATTAGCGACAGAGGGTTAAGATTCTACAAAGTAAGAGAGGATTTAAGTCTTACATTAAGAGGAACTTTCACACATTTCAAAGGTACTGGTTTTATTTTTTTCTCCTTTGTTGTTAAACTGCTGCTGATTTTTTTTCTGTCGCCCGTCTTTTAGCCCTCATGCATAATAAAGCAACCGTGCCATCTCGTTATGACCCAATCGATGACACACTGAGGGTTTGGGTACATATCCAAAACTCATACATGACTGGAGTGATGATCAGATCAGACCCCTGAGGCAGAACATTAGTGAAGCCACTGAGAGGGAGAATGACATGTTAAAGGTCCAGGGTCTTGATACTAAACACCAGGTCCACTTAGGGAGTCATCTGCTCACAACCAGTGCACTCTTTCATTTGCACCATGTTTTTATATAACACAAACACAGCGAGGCTAAATGTCACCTTAAGTATCTTGAGGATGTTTATTTTGGTGGCCTGTGTGTGGTGAGTCGTTCGAACAGGCTTTAATGTTCTATTTGCAATTGAACTGTCTCCACAGCTTATTCGTGCCTGAAGCATGAATATGTGCATCCCACCAAACAATGAATCCACTACTCAAAGAGAGAACGTGCAGCAAGTGTGATCAGGTCTGTGCCTCAGAGCCGGATCCACCTGGTCAAAACAAACCATTAAGAAAAATAGATATAGAAAATCACAGTACACCCAAACACTGAGTATGCAATCTATTCCTAACTACATGTTCAGCATTTAGAGCAACACTGAGCTCAGTAAAGCCACATACAGGTCTCAAAATGTGAAAGAATGAGGTGCCATAGAATAACACCACACATCCCTCCATCCATCCTGCACTGATTTCAACACTGGGATCATTTTACCCAGCAACAAAGAGCCAGAACCCTATAACCACATTATGACAGATCAACATTCAGCACACACAAATCCCTCTTTCTCTCTCTCTCTCTCTCTGCTGGATGTTCCTGTGTTTATGAAATAAAAAATGGATCGTGGTTTAGCTGTCATGTGTCAGAGCTGCACATATGTACACAGTGCATCCCACAGAGAGGTGGAGAGGGATAAAGGGGAAAGCAAAACACATGCAGCACCCTGGTTCTTGGTCAGTACGCACGGCCTGTACCTCTGCAGAGACACACACACACACACACA